CAATCTCGAGCCCAGAGTCTTCACGGCTAATGTCAGCGGTATGCTGACTAGTCGCCGGAAAGACTCTGGAGGAATCGACTGGATTTGCGACGCTTTTCCGTCGCAAATTATGCAAATTAGGTCAGTTTTGTTTTTGGCGCTTTAGAGCATCAAAATGACAAAAAAGAAGAAGGTTTAGCACACAACTTAGTTTAAGAACAGTATTGACACCTTTTAAAAAGCACAAATGTGTGAAAACATGTGTGGTTATGCGATAAAAGTATGATATTTTTGATCAAACAGGCGAGCGCGCGCTGGCGACTTGAAAAACCGATTTGAAAACAATGCGCGCTCGCGTCATTTTCAACCAATCACGAATCGAGAAAAAATTGTTTCCTCCAGAGTCTCTCACGCATTGACATCCGCTGGATGGCAAAAGTGTGGGCTCTGGGTACGAGATTGTATCTGTTAATTATGATCTATATTTTGATTTTACATATTACTATAAAGATAAATCGTTGCGTCGAAATCAATATGCAAATTTAGAGTTTATGCTAGTTTTTTCTTTTTTTTTGTATGTGTGTTTTATCTTAAGCTTATCAAAACACGTTCGAATTTCAAATACTATCATTAAACGCAAAGGGCCTAGGGGAATATAAGAAATCTATTAAAATTTTTGATTGGCTGTATAAACATGGGAGTGACAAAGGAGTGTCTTTTTGCAAGAGACCCATAGTACGAAAGATGTTATGGAACAATGGTCAAAAAGAGCAAAAGGTTCTTTATTGTTTTCTCACGGTACTTCTCGAAGCAGAGGAGTGGCAATACTTATAGGACATAAACTTAATCACAAAATCAAGGATGTTTTTAATGACCCAGGGGGTCGATATGTAATTATTTCAGTCGAGATTGACGGAGCTTTTTTTCTACTTATCAATTCATATTTACCAAACTACGAAAATCAACAAATAACGGTGTTAAAGGAAATAATTGAAAAAATTGGCTTATTTGACGTTCCAATCGATTCATATACGATTTGGGGAGGAGATTTTAATGTTGTTTTTGACTTGGACCTTAAAGCATCAGGGGGGAATCCAGTAAGGAAAATTAAAAGTATTGAAACAATTGAAACCATGAATGCGGAATGTGACCTTTGTGATATATGGAGACTT